GGGGGAGAGAAATGGGAGAAGGGGAGGAGGTGAAAATACTTAATAATGATGATGATGATGATGATAATTTAAAAAAAAGATTTGTCACCCATATTGCTTAAATAAAAAGCTGTTTGTCCAGTAGCCAGGAAGTATAGGTGGGATAAACAGACTAGGAGAATTCTGAAAAGAGTAAAGGAAGGGGTATAGTCAATCAGCCAGGCGCAGAGGAAACAAGATGAGAAAGCCTTACTGAGACAAGGTACCAAGCCACATGGATAAACATTGACAAGTATTATGGGTTAATTTAAGTTGTAAGAGATGGTTAATAACAAACCTGAGCTAATTGGCCAAACAATTTATAATTAATATAAGCCACTTTGTGTTTCTTTCTGACTGAATGGCTGTGGAACCCAGTGGGACAGAGACTTCTGTCTGCAAAGACATTGATAAAATAAAATAGTAGCATGATGTAGGGTTAAATGATGAGTGCTTATATTATAGGAAATAATAACATAATCTCACAGAAGCTCGGACAACTAAATGATGTGTGGCATATGTTCTCACTTACTAGGGATATCTATGATATGGGAGGAGCACAATATCAAACTAGTTCAGCATAATCAATGTCAAATTTAACAGTTGTGACTGTTGCTCTACAGAGAATGAGTAAACTTTTCACCTTGGTCAAGTTTGCAACTATTAGTTGATAGATTTTGGCGGCTACAGATGAACTGAATTAAGTTCCAAGGTTTGTACAGTTCTTTCATATGTAAAAAGGGACTTTTAGAAAGAAGCTGTTTCAGGGCTCAGGTTTTAGGAGACATGGTCACTTGGGGTTTCCCAGGAAAAAATATGTCCTACTAAGGAGTTTATGAATTTATTAAGAGGTTTCACAATCACAGGAAAAATGTGTGTCAGTTTTGTGCGTAGCAGCAACATTTTTATCTGTCATGAGTCTATATAGTCTATGTTGATTGTCAGGAAAAGGTGCTTTGCTATTTATCTGGGCAATAGCTACATAATCACCTGTGTTTTACCATAGTTGTAAAATTGTTTCTTTAACGTTGTATCCCTTGCCGATGTGATTGAGAATGAATAAATGAAATTTGTTTTTCATGCTTATTTGGTCTCTAAAGAAAATCATTTGGGTCTCACTATTGCGTCAGCACTAAATCACAAAGGAAAGTTGTTTATGTGTCTTGATGGAGGCAGTGAGAAGGGAGACACCGTGAGCAAGCTTCAAGGTCATTGCTGTTCAGATATACTGTTATCTTCACTAATGAAGGCAAATGCTGAAATGGGCTGAGCAAAGAAGCACTACAGAGAGCCAGTGACTTGTACTGAAATTAATAACAGGATGCTATTTGTGATAGATAGTACTGGAAAATAAAGGTTAATAATATTGTCTATGGTCCTGTGGACTTGAAGGAATCCGTATCTACATTCATTTTTTTTTCTGCCACTGGTAAGATGTGAATGTTTTGAAGGGTGATGTGAGGAAAGCGAAAGCTATCAGATAGATGGCCTTCACAAGTGCATCTGAGCCTTCCCTGCACCTCAGGACTCAGAGGATTTGGAGGAAGTTTTGATAAAGTTCACAAAGATCTATCTGAACCTTAGTAGCCTATTCTCCAATTATTTTTCTTATGGCAGTAGAATTTCTGTTCCAAAGACTGTCACATGCAGTTTCAAGCTAAAAATCTAGGACATTCATCAAATATAACAATGAAGCAAAAGTTATATCCAGGAAAATCACAGCTTGAATGTGAATAACAGGGGCCTCAGGGAATCAAGAAAGAAAACTTTTGTTATGCATTTAATATTATAATTTTCCATTTTTAAGTTAAGTTTATCCTTATTATGATTTCAAAAGTTAGTTTTACAGATAACAAAAATAAAATAGTTTCAATTGAAGATTTAATCATTAAAGAGGTTTATGATAGGGATGCTGTCTACATTAGTTGATTTACCAACTTTGCATGTGAGCTATTTACTCAGTTGAAGGACTTTAGGTAGATTGAACAGGAGCAGTAATTAATTATATAATTTTAGTTAATTAATTTCCTGTATCTTATGATAATTTAGTATATTAGGGAATTTTTGGTTTCTCCCTTATAATATTGCCATTTATATGAGTTGGGGACATTTTATTTCCCTTAGTTTGTCTCCCAGAGATGGGGAAATATTTTTCTTTGCTTTTTAATATCATATGCAAGTATCCTTGTCAATGATGATTATTTGAGATGTTAGCAGTGTGCCTGTTTGATGTACTGAGCCACATATTTGGGGATCATGTCTCATTTTTGTAAAAATGCATTTCAATATAATCTGATAGTTTTGTAGTTCAGGTTAGAGAGACCTTTCTCATTCTAAATTTTGCTGTGGAATCAAGCCTCCAAATTTCATATTTAACTCCATGAATAAAACAGTATGAAAATTCTGCTATATAAACACACAACCTAATTTCCCCAATAACTTTGGAAGACTTTTTCAGTATCTCTGAAAGTTTCTTCTAGTTTCAGATTTTGTGTGTGTGTGTGTGCATATCTTGATGATGTTTCAGCCAATTTTTATTTAAAATGTTTCATGTAGATGTGTTAAGAGATGTTGACCATTTTCAAGAACTCTGTTGTATTTGGACTTAATATACTTTCAGCCTAAGGAAAACGATTGTCAGAGTTACATTTTGGGTCAGTCCCAACAATTGCTCCTATCAATAATTCAGCATCTGAGACAGCTTGTGATGGAAAAGAAAAACTAGAAGAAGAGTTCAGGAATGCCCTAATTAGAGATTTGGTAGCATAAGAAAGGTCAAATTGGAAACCCTATGCAATTTGCTGTGGGAACTCCTTTAATCAATAAATAGACTTTAAGATAACTGCCCACTTTGGATGTGGCCACATGTATTATAAATGCAGACAAAATAAAAAAAAAAAAAAAACAAACATGCATGGGTCTCTTGACTGCTGGAGTCTGTTGCAGTTCCCAGCTCTTGGAGAGAACTGCTGATCACTGCTTTTCAGTAAGTCTAACCCTAAATAAATAAACCTTTATTATACTCCATCAGGGTTTGCTGGATCAGGTATGGCATACTGCTTCTCGGGCTCAACTCCAGCAGATGAGACACCAGAGCATTCCCTGGGGCTGACTTCCAGGGGGCCTAAAGTAGCTACCGCTAGAGGACAGCAGAAAAGGGGCTTGGAAAAGGCAATGGGTCCACATCTGTCTTGCCGCTTGTACTTCTGTCGCCCACCTCGGACACAGTTCAGAAACTCGCCCTTCTTGAGCATGCCCTCCCACAGGCACTTGGTGAAGCAGAAAGCCTGACAGGACTTGTGTCTCTACTTGGTGATCTCACACTCGTTGGAGGCTGGACAGCTGTACTCGATGCTCACCTGGATGGTCCTTTTGAAGGCAGCTTTGCAGGCCTCACAGGATGCCACACTGTAGTGGTAGCTGGAGACCACATCCTCATCGACCGTGGCAGAGGCATTTGGGTAGAGAGCTGAGCCCAAGATCCTTACTGCTCTGCTCACCAGACTTTATACCGTCTCCATCCTCATCCTCCTTGTGCCCTCGAAGGCAGCAGACTAGAGCTGGTTCCCAGGCCAGGGTCACCGGGACTTCAGTCTCAGTCTCTGAGAAACTCTTTGAACTGCCAGGGACGACTGGCTCTGCCTTGATGCAGAGAGAGGCTCACTGCCCGTCACCTGCCTCCACATGATGCTGGTCACCTGGGGCACCTACAAGCTGGCAGGCATTAGTGACCTAGCTACCTGTAATGCTGGGATGAGCAGTGTCCCTCTCCTCGGGCTGCGCTGTCCTGCTGTGCTGTGCAGTTGGTCTTGGGAGTTCATGAATTCTCTTTGGCTACTCTAATAAAATACCACAGGCAATTTTCTAAACAATAGAAATGCAGTTTTTCAAAGGTCACAAACATATTTTATGTGGCTTATGAGGATTGCTTCAAATGATACCTTTTGGTATGCTCATATGGCAAAACTGTTGGAAGGAACTGACATTCTATTAAAGATCTTTTATAGGGTCACTAATCATGTTCAAAGAGTCTCACAGTCTAATCACAATTCACAACCCTGAAAGTCTTCACTCATATTGTCACACAGTGTATTATTTTCCAAAATATAAATTATGGAGGGAAAGAGAAGTTTGAACCATAATAGGGGGTGTACATATCTTCCACTAATGCTTCTTGATTCTGAAGCTGGATTAAAAATAAAAGACAAATAAAAGACGTTGGCAGAGTTCTTGTGCACTCTATTATTTGAGTTTGTGCTTTAGCATCCTGTACTGGTTCCTACAGAAGTTCTAGATCAGAGTGCCATTTTTGTTTACCATGTGGCTTCTGTGTTTTTTTATCTGCTAGAAATGTCCTTCTATGCAAACACATATTCACCAAAATTACCTATTGCATTTTGTGGAAAATATTTTTATTGTGCCTCTGTGAAAACTGTCACTACTCAGTTCCATCCTGTTTTTGAGAGTACCACCCCAGTGTTCTATCTCAGCCATAACACATCCTCTGCCTAAATTTCTGTGATTGGGTACTAATTTTTTTTCTAGTTAGTTTCTAATTTGTTGAACAGCACTTTCCTGTAATGTCAGCAGGTGCAGTCGACCTGATGTTCAGCACTTAACAGAGCAGTCATATTCCCCGTGTATATTTGGTAGCTTATTCTTTAAGTAAAATGAAACTTGTTAAATATAGCTTGTAAATCAACAGCATTGATGATAGGTCTGAGTGACTGGGATACAGCAGCTCAGACAATAATCAGAGAAAAAGAGTCTATGAACTTGAGAGTGAGGGACATGGGACTGGAGATGTTTTTTTCAGTTTTTACAATTTACAGTTCACTATTCTTCAACCACCATTTTTATGTATCTGAGTCAATCACCATTTTTCTTTCTTCCTTTTTGTCCTTCAAGTTCTATTCTCTTCAATATAATAGAATTGCTACTAGGATGTGAGATTAAGATTCAACATAAAGGTTTTTATTTATTCTGAAATTGACCATTATAGATGATGTATCTTTTGCAGGCATTTTTGAAAGAATATATATATATATATATTATATATTATATACATATACTATATATTATATAGATATTAAATCTTCTTGGCCCTTGGGACCCAAAATGTCTTCTCTACTGAACAAGAGTGTTTCAGAATGATGGTAAGACCACTTTCTATGTTTCTCATATCTACTGAAGCACTTAAACATTCAGCATTTGTAAATAAACACAGATTTGGAAATAAATACAGATTTGGAAAAGAAAAACACATATGATACATATATGACTCACTTCATTGGCTAAGGAAATAGGGGGAAAGACAAAATACCTAGAAATTAGAATTTTTGTGCTATATTAACATTTGCAATGAATGGTTTAGTACTTTCAAAGTTGATATGATCTGAAAATTTAATTTAAATATTGTTATTTGCTATTTTATAGGACAATAAAAAGAAAAATATGTTGTCCTTTGCAGCTGGGGTCTTAATGTGCAACTGAAATCACACATATATTCTACTATTTTATTGACATTACTTTAAGTGTCAACATCTAATTTATCATAAGGTCTGCTGAGGAGCTAATGTTAACAACAGTTGGAAGTGTAGAACTTATGGAGACATTAGCATCACAATACTTCATGTGAGTTGCTTTTAGAAATGTTCTCACTTCAAAATGC